ACTTTATAAGACATGTGCTTGGGGTTTTCAGCATTTAAAATTTTTTTTTTAAGTAAGATAGCAGTTTTAAATGGAATGCCTATCTACTATCCCCTCACCATGTTGCATACTTTAAAAGATAACTGAGTTGCACCAATGTTTAGATAGAGGGAGCTTACAGAATACTTAGGAAGCTAGGGACAAATGAAGCCTAAACTGTGGGAATGTGTTTTCACATCAGCTTGTTAAACTCGGGGCACAGTTGTAAAAGGAAGGCCTTTGGATTGGTGAATTAAATAAACATAAAGAATTAGAGACACAGTTCTCTTCCAACTGCTTCACTGATATTTAGCGTGAAACCAGACAAAGTCCTCTGGGGCTTGTGTATTCCATGTGGGTAATAAAGAAGCGAACGGTGGTTTTCCCTATGAAATAGATGTAAGATATCTAGGAAAAGCATGTCAAAGCATTCTTATTTTTTTTTTAATTTTTTTATTTTGAGAAATTATTAAAATCATGGAAAAGTACGTACAATTAATATTACCATCCAAGATTCTGTTACTCACAATTGACAGTTAAAACTGCCATTATTACTACAATATTTTTTGTTAACAAAATAAATGAAATAAAACAATACAGAAAAAGTAACATTTTTTGTGTCCCATCTGTAGTTCTGCTATCATGAATTTTGAGTAAATACTTCATGTCTCTTTTCATATCTTTAGTTATATATTTGTAAATGAACAACATATGATATTGTCTGTGTGCTTTTAAAAATTTACCTGAGGAATAAACTGCTCAAAGCATTTTTTAAAATGTACTTTAAAAAGTACTGTTTTTAACCTTTTAATATCTACATGCAGGTTCTTTAATTAAAGTTATTAGTAAGAAATAGCTTTGGAATAATGATGGGGGACAGGATGGAAGAGTTTAGTAGTTGAGAAAATACTGATGTGAGATGGAGAGTTACTGTCTGTGGACTCAGTCCTAGCAAAAGGCTCATGTAAGCATTAACCTCTAGTTTTGTCAGTTCTGTGGTCGTAGATGACTTGTAAATATTGTTCGTGTGAAAATATATAGGTAAAGTTTTATAATCAACGTGTATCTAGATATATATCTGTATATATAGTTAAAATTATATAATTACATTTAGACTTATGTTTACATTCAAATATGTAGTTAAATTTATATGTTATGGTTATGTGCATGCAGTGAGGAATATTATCTAGTTATCTTGGGTAGCTTTGAGAAGGGTACTAGTACTTTCTATGAATCCAAAGAGTTATTATCTTTCTATTATGATCCAGTGAACCCCTGTTCTTTTCAAGCAAATGTTTGAGATGCTTACTTCAGCATTATATAATTGTGTTTTTATTTATGTCTGTTTCCTCTTACTAGACTGTGATCTCCTTGAAGACAAGATAGTTATATCTATATTTTCAATATTACAAGGGCCAATTAGTCACTGTTTTCTGTCACAGTAGTCAATTTAGTTCACATAAAATGGAAGAAAATAATAGTTATCAGATTTATCTTTGTCCTGAGACTATAAAGGATGCATAATATTTTGATCCAAAATTTACAAAAATTTTAATAACTGAAGCAATGAGTTTGAACAATTTACTTTGAAAAGTAAGTGTGAAGTACTGATATTAGTTAATTCCTCTACAAACTACTTAGGAACAGGTTATATGTACCTTTTGAAGTGAACTCTAGGTTGATAGGTGAACTGTGAAATGAATTCCAGTAGAGATGTGCCTAAGAAATAGGCTCAGGTTCTAAGAAGGAATTGTCAGTATCATATTCAGGACCGTTTATTGATAACGATATGGTGAATTGGATTACCATCTCTCAATTCAGGCAGTTCTCTCTTCAGAAATAGATTATGTTTCAAATGTGCTCAGTTTATTGTAACTTGAAGTATATTTTCCCTTTAAAAAGAATGGTGTAAATAATTTCTGCATTATCATTCTTCTGATTTTGATAGAAATGAATGTAATTTTTTACTGCATTTTATGGAAAGTTAATGATTACTAGCATTTTTCCAGAATATATTAAAATAATAATAGGAATGAAAGTATATAGTCAAGTATAGAGTTCTTTCATTTTTACTGAAAGATAACGTCCAGATAGCACATTTTAAATTTTCTAACGTTGACTATTTATAGGAACTACTTTCCCCATTAATCTCATTACTTAAGCAAACACTAACAGGTAGTGTGTTTATCTTGAAAATCTACTGAGTGGTTCCCAGAGGTAAAGCCAGATCTACTTCTGAAATATTCACCTGAATACTTATCTGAATTATAATGTTCATTAAATTTCATCTGAAATGTAATGTTTTAGGACCTTATTTCTTGTGTCAGTGAAGTTTTAAAATGTTTATTGCATTTAGTTCAGTTTTTTTGTTTGCTCTAACCATGTAAATGTTCTTGGTATACAAGGGGTCTTCAAAACGTTAATGGAAAAATTCACATTATCTTTTCATTCCGTTTCTCCACGAACTTTTTGAAATACCCATGTATGTTTTGGGGAGGATTTAAATGACAGGAATTGAAATAATAGCAATAATAGCTTTCCTTTATTAAACAGTTTATTCCAGACACTTAAGCAACATCCCTAGGAGGCCAGCATTATTATCTTTATCTTATGTATGAGGAGACTGAAACCTAGGTTAAAGGATTTGCCCAAGTCACACAGTTAGGAAGGTACTAAGCTGGGATTTAGACCCAGATTGATCTTATCTCCATTGCCTGATCTTTGTACTATACCATGCTATCCCAATGAAAGGAAGGCTTAACTTTTTTTAATTGAAGCGTATTGATTATACACATTTGTGGGGTACAGAGATGAATATCAGTACATATATACAATATGTTATGATCAAATCAGGGTAATTAGCACATTCATCGTTATAAAACTTAGTCATTTCCTTGTGATGAGGACATTCAGTCTTCTCTCTTCAAGCCATTTAATAACGTGCAGTAAATTATTATTAATTATAGATGCCTAGCTTGACTATACACCCATAGAACTTATTTTTTCTATCTAGGTGTTTTATGTTCGGTAACCAACGTCTCCCTATCCCTCCCCCATCCCCCATTCCTGCCTCTAGTAACCACAGGTGTGCTCTCTCCTTCTGTGTATTTTGCAAAAGAACTCAGTTTGCAAATATTATAAGATTTTTGTTGTTGAATATGAGAGAATCATATGATCACTTTTGAGTAGAGTGATTAGTGAAGATATATTGAGAGTAGCTGAGTATAAACTATTCAAACCTAAATATAATATCCAACAAGTAAAATGTCTATTTGGAGACATTAGGAGCCCTACTAAAGTCAGATTTCTAGATTCTGTCTTTTCCCAATTCTTTTTTATGCTGAACTTCCTTGTTGAACGGAGAGTGAATTATAGGCTGGCCTGGGAAGAAGGGTTAGGGCAGAACATGTCTTACCTAGAGGTTAGTAGGACCACAAAAATAGGGAAGTGAGGTTTGTTGATTCAGTAAAAAGCTGTGCAGTAACTGTATGCAAGACTTTGGTGAAGAGAGATAAGCAAGATATATATTGTAAACTAGAAGTGAATTAGTAGTATGGTGTGATAAACAGGATGTTGTGGAAACTGAAGAAAGGCTACCTTACTCCCCACATATTGAATCATACAGAAAGGCTCCTCAGTGGAGATAACACCCGTTGCAAGTTTGGAGGATGAATAGGACTTCAGACTAACAAGGGGATATGATGAATACTGAAGGAAAAAAAGACAACATGTTCAGACAATACTGAAGAACAGTCCTTCATAATGAGTTTTGAATGAGCCATACTGATTATAGTTTGCATCAATATCTTGCAAGAGTCATAAGAGCAAGAAATGTAGTATTCCAGTGATTCAAATTTAGGAAGCAATTGACTATCTTGTGATATTTTGAAATATTACACTCTGTCATTGGGGTTGTGTATATGTTCATAGGGAAAACCTATTGAAGTTTTCTGTACACATGGAATATTAGAGCTGGCAGCATCCTCAGAGAGCATCTAGTTAGCTCATGTTTCACTCAGCAATCATATTTACTATGTCTTAGTCGCAGAGGACACAGAGATGAAAAGAGGGACCTTGCTTGTAAGGAACTCATGGCCTAAGAGAGGAAATAAACACATAAACAGACATTATACAAGAATGATAAAGTGCTATAATAAAAGATTCAAGTACTGTTTAAGCACAGAGGAGGGCTCATTCATTTGTTTTAAGGATTATCTAGGTAAAGTTTTAATTAGATCTTGAAGAATCCAGAAAACAGTTTATTTGTGAAAGGAAGGATATTTCAGGTCAGGACTGTGCTGGTTAAAAGGAACAGTTTTACAACATTTCTAATTAAGTTTTTCAATCTAAATTCTTTGAGCAAAGATTATCTAAAATAATGAAGCAGCATCATGGACTTGCTTAGCTTTCTATTAATAATGTAAGTTAATTTAAACCAGTGGTTCTCAGTGTGTGGTCCTGGGACCAGTTCATCAATATCACTGGGAAAATTAGAAATGCAAGTCCTCGGGCCTCAACAGAGACCTACTGAAATCAGAAACTCTGGTGATGGGTCCCAGCAATCTGTTTCAACAAGCCATTCAGGGGATTCTGATACATGCTAAAGTTTGAGAACTACTGACCTAAGCTAACAGTAGTTCCTGGAATGAATAGTTGGAAGTTCATGGGCTTTGAGAACAAAGAAACCTGGATTTGAATCTCGCCTCTCCCACTGAATAGGTCTGTGACTGTCAGTCTGTTACCTAAAGTCTATGAAGCATTGAGATTTTTGCCTATAAAACAAAGATGATAATACTTCCTTCCCAGTATCGTTGTGAGGGTTAATCGACATAATTTGAGTGCCTAATAATGTAACCAGCACACTGTAGGCTTTTGATAAATGGTAAGTACTACTATCATTATCATTATTTTTAAGATGTTTTTACAATGAAGTGATTACGTTCACTTATTGAACTAAACAGTGTTCATATTTTTATTTTTAGATCCAAATGCTCAAGAAATTAAAGATATTTATGGACTGTGTGGTCAAATAGAACACAAACTGGCTTTCCTGAGAACTCATGTGCCAAAGGAAATGAAGCTTGTGCTCATCGGCCATTCAATAGGTTGCTATATTTCTCTTCAAATGTTGAAGCGTACCCCTGAGCTCCCAGTAAGTATACCTTAAGAGGTGACAGGGAGTGCTTGAATATGCACGTGCACAAACCCCTTCAACTTTCCTTTGCTCTTTTTTCTCTTGATTAATTGATAAATAGAACAGAGAGTGGAATACTTGATAGATGCCTTTATCCTTATCTCCATATTACTGTGGGCCTTTGTGAGTATATGTTTATGAAATTCTCATCATGTTGTAAATAATAATGCTGAGGGAGATAGAAATTTTCCAAATGAATGTCTTTGAATCTAGGGTTGTCTGGAGTTCTTATGTTACATATAACTTGCTGTCTTTTATAAAGGAATATTTAAGAGCAGTCACCAGCTAAGACCTAGACAAGTATCTGTCTTTATTTCAGTAAAGACAAATCTGTCTTTATTTTTGCAAATGTTCATGTGTTTGTTCCGTTCAGGAGGAATAAAATTTATCATCATCATCGTTGATAGACAAACATTTGTCTGTGGAACACTAAATCTTTATTTAGTCACAAGTCGTAAGTCTGGATCTTTATGTGTTCTATAGCTTAGCAGCCTTTTTGAGAAATTCATTCATTCACAAACACTTATTGGTTGTCACTATGTGCCAGATATTAAGTGAGACACCAGAGACACAAAGACCTATTTAAAGTGCCCAGGAAAACAGATGAACTACAAGTGACTTAAAACAAAAACTTGTACTTTCCTAACATATACCATTGAAATGGCCTATTGAATGATGCAGTTCACAAGATAACTTATTCCTTCATTCAACAAACATATTAAGGATTTGCCATGTGTCAGGCACTATGTTACTCTTTGAGGACATCCCAGTGTATAAGACAGTCTTTGAGGTAAGACAGCCTCGAGTCTAACAGAGGAGAAAGACTCTAGTTGTGATAACTGCTGTCATGTATAAGTACAAGGTGTGTGGGAGCATGAGGAGAGCTGTTTAGCCTAGTAATCTGAAGGCAAGACCGGAAGTGACTCCTTCACGGCTTCTTTCTGCCCTAGGGTGTTCACTTGATAAAATATCTCCAGTGGGTCTTGGGGCTCACTAGGAATTTGCTCCTTTTCCTGCCAGCTTAACATGCTTACTTCTTATGCATAATTGCCTTCCCTGGCTATGGTTTTTAATACCACGTGGAAGTTTTTCATTTTCTCTTATTGGGTATGAGAAAATGTAGTTTTCATTTCTAAGTGTAAATTCAGTAAATTCAAGATTGCTCATGCACCGTGTTATTGCTTCTACTCTTGTTGGTTTTTTTCCCTATATAAGACTTCTTAATCAGAAAGCAGGCTTATATTTTTGCTTTTAGCATTTTGTGTGGGTTCTAATCTTTTTTATGCCTTTGGAATCTCTACTAGAACCATATTATGTGGTTACATCTTTACAGTGTCCAGCCTTGACTTTTAGTGGTTCTACTTACACAGTTGCTGCTTTAGAACCAATACACCTAGGTTCAGGTACTGGCTGTCATTTTTTTCAGTGTGATCTCGGACAACTTAGTGAGTTGTTTTTCCAATGAAGTGATTACTTTCATGTACTGAATTAAACAGTGTTCATATTTTTATTTTTAGATCCAAATGCTCAAGAAATTAAGTAAATTTATGAACTGTGTGGTCAAATAGAACACAAACTGGCTTTCCTGAGAATTCATGTGCCAAAGGAAATGGAGCTTTTGCTCATCGACCATTCAGTAGGATGATGAGCACAAGAAATTTTGAATATAGTTATATTCAAAAATATAAACCTCAGTTTCCTCATCTGTAAAATGGGATAATAATATGTTCTCCAAAGATTTTTGTGAGGAATTATGTAAAGTATTAAAAATGATACCTGGAATTTAAAAGTTTCATATAAGTATAAGCTATTATTATTAATATGGAAATGACAATAGAATCTTTGGCTCAGTCATTAGGTTAACCACTGTATTAGTTATCTACTGCTATATATAAGATTGCCCCATAACTTAGCAATATAGGGTGATACACATTTATTCTCTCACAGTTTCTGGTCAGAAATCTGGCTACAGCTTAGCTGGGTCCTATTATTCAGGGTCTCTCATAAGACTGTCATCAAGGGGTCTTCCAGGGCTGTGGTTTCATCTGAAGATGTGACTTGAGAAGGATCTGCTTCCAAGTTCGCTCACCTGGTTGCTGGAGGCCACCCTCAGTTCCATAACATGCTGGCCTCCCTCGCCTGCTTCATTAGAGCAAGCCTGGGAGAAGAGCCAGAGAGAGAGTCTGTGGGCAAGATGGAAGTCACAGGCTGTAATCTAATTACAGAAGTGACATCCCATCACTTTGCTGTATTCTTTTTGTTAGAAGCAAGCTACTAGATCCAGCCTGTACTCAGGGGTAAAGAATTACATAAGGGCATGAATACTAGGAGATAAGGGTCACTGGGAGCCATGTCAGAGCTGCCTACCCCACCACTCTAGAGTTAGGATTTCACTTGTCTGGTGTAAAATCAAGTATGTGGATATAAGGATATATGTATATAAATTAAAATAATGAATTTATTTTCTAGTGTAGACAGTTACTTGGTCCTGTCAAAATGTAGTATACTGTGTGATATGAAATATAATTTTTGGTTATTAATTTTGCAGGTGTTTTAAAAGCTTTAAAAACACTTTAAAAATTACTTCCATATTTGAAATAATAGCATTACTATTCTATAAATATAGGGAAGAAAATATTCATTTCTGAGTTTTTCACTGTCTATTAACTTTTTCACAGATATGTCCTTTTGGTTTTTATTTGTTTGTTTGCTCCAAATCCATTCTGCATATAATGTATGGCTTCTCTAGTGTTTTTGTGAAAACAGTTGTTCGACACATTAATGTCTGTTAGGAAAGAAGTACAATGCATCTTAAGATTAATGTATCTTCTCCTAGCTTCTTCAGCTTCTTACCTTCCTGATTAGTGCCCTTCTTTCAGGTGTTCTTGTCCTTACAGGAACAGTGGTAAAAAGGGGGAAAAAAAAGATAAAACATGAGTTTAACCTAGTCTGTTTGTGAAAACATAACTCTTACTGTGATTATTGAGTTTTCAGAGACATGTGAAACTGTGCTTTTATCTTCTCAAAAAGGGTGTATTCTAGAAAACAATGTGTGCAATAAATTGTCCATAAAGGAGCAGTGAACATCTGTATGAGTTTATTAGTCAAAAGTTTATCTGGTTTCAATTAACTACATTGTTGAAATCCCCTCCCCCACCCATTAAATACCTGGGCCAGATAATATTGGTGGTGTGATCCCTGCTGAAGTGCTGAAAGTTTAGTGTCTCTGGGCTACTCTAAGACAACACAGTGCCTGTATGTCTGAAGTTAGCATGATATCCTCCATTTAAGATGCATTTGACAATCAAATAAGTTTGTGTAAGCCAGTGTTGCAATCCCTGACCGTTTTGCCAAAAATAAGTTAGCTGTTATGTTTTATAACATATGAAGTGTGATAATAAGAAACTTGTGTTTCCATCTCTGCTGTTATTCTTACCAGAATATTTGACTCCCATAACATTTTGAGGACATATGTGTAGTTTAGTAGCTGGTTTATTTGGCTTATTTTGGTTCAGTTCTTCACAATATTTTTGTAGCTAATCATAGACAACTATGGTCTTAAGTAATTTTAAGAGGCTTATTGCATGTATCAGATATATTGTCTGACCTATATTTTATTATATTGAAAAAAAAATTGCCTCTTCTAAAAATCTGGTATTTAAATTTTTTTACTTGTTTTTTTAAGCAAGTTTGACACATAGAACTATGGAAATTCTTCAGATATTTTAACAGTAATGTCCGGAACAGAGAATTTAAAAAGAAGCTTGAGAAAATAGGTAATTGGAAGACTATTAAATAGTAGCTATTATGACTTATAATAATAAATGCAATTGTTTTTAGACCCATAGGATCTTAGGACTGAGATGGGCTTTAGAGACAATCTAGTCCCATCTTTCATTTTATAGGTGAGAAGTGAGAGAAAGTACCTCGCCAGGATTCAGCCTTGGCTTTTTCTGAATTCTGGTGTAAGGTACACTTATGTTAGCTGTGGGTATAGAGAGAGTCCAAGAAGGTATCTGATGGCTCTTTCAAACTTTGAATGGTATCATATCCAAAGAGCCTACAGATATTACTGTACGCCCCAATAGTATGCATGACTAGATTCATGTGACTCATTATATTATAGCTTAAGGAGAAGGAGACCTTGTGAATACTCTAGCAATTGGTGGGGGACAGGTGACACGGAAACAAAAAAGTAGTCTAATCACCACTACCTAGTATCTTCTTTCTTTAACCATCAATCCTCTGTATGCTAAAAATGTGCCATCTGATTCTTACCTGGGCTCTGCACTGACTCGTAGGGTGAACGTCAAGTAATTTAACTTTGATTTTCTTCTTAGAATTTATATAGCATTTAATGATAACACTTCCTCCCCTTCCACAGATATCAGATCCATCACAGACAATTTTTTATATTATTTGGCCTTTCTTGGGGAAAATGCACAATAACAGAAAGATTCCTTTGTCTGTCTGGTTGGCAAAAGTATCCTCTCTAAGTGAAATTTCCAGATTACTTAAACTTACTTCTTTAAGCACAAACTATTTTATCCAATTAGATGACAATTTGTCTAAATGTATTATTGTATGCCTTCTTCAACAATGCATATTGATTATAGAGGAATTTTTTCTTAGTGATTCATGGGCAGTGATGTTAACAGTATCATTTTGATAGTGTTATGCTAGAATATAATGTAGTCAAAGGTATTTTGTCTATGTCCTGAAATTTCTTGTGATAGTGCCTTTTTTTCTTTTCTTATCTTTTCTTTTGATTTCTCCTGTCTCTCTATTTTATATTTTTTCTATATTCTTTCTTAGTATTAGGTACCGTTTCCCTTCCCTACTTCTAATTTATTGCCACAGATTTGCTATGGGTGGAAAAAACAGATAATCATGTTATAATTTATCTCAGTAAGAATGAACAAGTCCTAAATAAAGGTACAAGAGTAAAACTGACAAAA